TTTTTGGATGACCCGGGCCCAAGCGTTCTGCCTGTGCCTGCGCATCTCTACTCCACCGCCTTGGACGCCGTCTGTGGATCATGGTGTTTAGAGAAACATCGTTCGCGCCCTCTGGGCGACAACCGTGGTCGCACTCCGCTCCAGCAGCTGACTCTTTACCGTCGGCTGTTCCCGTTGTTTCTTCTTGGCGTCGTCGTTTTGATATACCAATCGGCCTATTTTGGTCTTTTGTGCCATCCTTCTCGCCGACGTTTTTCTTTTTTCTCTGTCACCTTCCGTANATTTGTTTTATTTTCTGTTACCTTCCGTTTTGTTCTATTTTGTTTTGTTTGGTTCTCTGTCTTGTCTCTTTTCTCTCGTTGGCTTATTTTGTTTTGGACGCTGGGGCAACGCCGCCTCAAGACACGCAGTGTCGAGTGATCCTTCTTCCTTGTTGCCTGCATTGACCTGAATCAGTGAACTGCCGCGACCTGGATGTCCGTTCTCTCTCGCCTTTGCTTCAATTTTTTTGTTGTTGTTGTTGGTCTTTGGTTCTCTCAACAAGCTCCCTCCGAAGTTTCGTCGTTGTTGTCTGCCTCTGAACACTTCGATAAAGAGTTCCCCAAGTTTCGTCGGTGATGTTTGCCTCGGGACACTTGGACACCGAGTTCCCTGCGTTTCCTGGTTCGCCTGTTTGCCAACTAATGTTGTCTTAAATGTTTTTTTGTTTTAGTTCCATCGTACCGCAGAAGTGTCGCATACGCTTGGTGCTTCGGGATTCCATCCCGTGGCGTCGCCTTCTCCCATGGATTTTCGTCGTCACCCACACTTCGTTCTGCTTCGTCTCCATCATCGCCACCTTCGGGCGACGCCTTCATCACAGTAGCGCCCCTGAGTCGTCGTCTTGCTGTGTGAATCTCTACGGCTTTCTGCGTCTTATGTCTTTGAATGATGCGTATCGCCAGCGAGCCATGGCACAGTTCGTCGACCGCCTCTCTTGCATTAATCGCTTGTGCTTTGCATCCTTGGTCCTCAATAGGTCTTGCCCCTGCCGTCTCCTTATACGAGTTGGGTACCCTGGCACGCTGGCCATTGTTCTCTGTGCCTTTGCCTGTCGTCCTTTTCTCCTGCCCCTTGTCAACGTCCTAGATTGCGTTGAGTTTCCCCTTTGCGTCGCGTCCAGTATCAAAGGCCGTATTCGTTCGGAAATTTATTTGGGTTTTGCGTTTCGTCACCATATTTTGGACTCGCTTNCCTGCCGTCTCCTTATTCGAGTTGGGTACCCTGGCACGCTGGCCATTGTTCTCCTTGCCTTTGCCTGTCGTCCTTTTCTCCTGCCCTTCGTTAACGTCCTAGGTTGCGTTGAGTTTCCCCTTTGCGTCGCGTCCAGTATTAAAGGCCGTATTCGTTCGGAAATTTGTTTGGGTTTTGAGTTTCGTCACCATATTTTGGACTCGCTCGGGTAGTCACCCTCATTCCTCCAGCGGTGATACGCGCGGGTGCGCAGAAAAGAGTGGTGTGTGGCGTCTGGATATTGATTTTTTTTCCCTGTCGTCGTCTGTTCAGGATGAAAGCGTGCTGTGCCGCAATATATATTCTTCATAGCTTTATCCCTTCAAGCGTTGTCATTGAGATGTCGATGTTCCGATGTTCCGTCTCGTGACCGTTCACATTCTTCATCTCAATTATGGTGTGGCGGATTGATTCGGGATATTTCTACAACTCACCCTCCTTTTGGATGTTTTGTGAAGAGTCATATCTTCGATTCATGATCATATATCATCAGCTAAAATCTAAATTATGCTTTAGACTAGGATTTGAGCATTGGTTTGAGTATAGAATCTGCATATATGATATTCAGGGTGGGCTAGTGTTAAGGAGTGTGGCTGCTAGCATGAATAGGGTTCATCTTGTTCCTGATAGGATGCGGGTCGGTCAGGAGGTATACCCTTCTGACCCCTACCCCCTTAGAATGGTCTACTCTGTGTACCCCCTGAGATGAAGTTGAATCCCCACTTCATCCCAGACCTTTGCTGATCGTCTCTCAGCAATAACAAGCAACTTTCCCATCTCAACGTGGTCGTGGACAAGCGTGTCAACGACAGAACCTTAATGTATCTCTAGGAGCAAGCCACCGCCCACGGCTTCACTCCTTGAAACAGCGTCATCAGGCAACGAATCAGTCTCAACGTCACCACGCGGCATGTCGATGTTGCGAAGGATTCCCTTCAAAAGGGCGCTCCCGCTGTGAACTTGGAGGCACCAGGATCCGTAGACGGCGGTTTCGGTGGTGGAGTGGCGAACATGAGGAAGGGCGAGCTTTACAGGTCCAGGATCGGCCAAGGAGCGGATGACGTAGAAGTCGGACGGTAGAGGCGGTTCAGTAGTCTTGCTCAACCACCATAATCCATCGCGCGCTTTTTACCAGAAGAAGGCGCCTGCAGGTAGCGGAATATTGACGAAACGACGGTCCCACGTTGAACGAGCGACGCGCGAATAGCCCGAAGGCAAGGCTCACTCTCCCTTAGCGCGCGCCATTTCGCGGGTGGCCGCACCAATACGCATCGCCCGATAGCGGCGATTTGTTTGGCGGTGTTGATCAGGCGAACCCGTCCAGTACCGGAGGATGCGTGGCTTGGAGTGCTGGAGATCCTTCTCACGTTCCCAAGGAGGGCGAAGAAGACCTTTCCAATGGGTTTGGTATAAAACAGTGATGGTGCCACCACGACCACGAACAGACTGATGGCCTTCGATGGGGTGAGTTTCAAGTTGTGTGTACGCAAACTTTCAAACAGAGTGCGTATGGTGTCAATATGAGAAGCAGGGTTGTCGTCAAAAACGATCATATCATCCAAGTACGATGCAACACCGTGGAGATTTTTTATTACTTCGTTGGCAACCTTGCAAAACCACCCAGGGGCAGCATAACTGCCTTGAGGCATCTTCAATCACTCAAAAAGCCCGGAAGACGTCACGAACGCCGTCAAAGAGATTGTATAACGGTGAACCGTGATTTGGTGGAACGAAGACTTCATGTAAAAAAGGGAATATATTCGCCCTTTCAACAACTTGTCCAAAGTATCATCAACTCGAGGAATCGGAAGCTGGCTCAAAGCACAAAGCTTGTTGAGCTTGCGATAATTGACGGTGATGCGAACACCACCAGATTTCTTCGGTATGACTACCAAAAGGTTCGAGTAAGGCGAGGTCGAATGTTGGATCAGACCAGCCGCAAGATATTGATCAAGGATTGCGTGAACTTGTTTCGCCACCGGGGGGGGTAACGCGGTATGGACGAGACGTGACGGATGACATCTGGAGTCCAACCCGGACCTTGGATGTCGAAAGAAATCTCACGGAGATGGCAGGGGAGCTTATCCCACACGCGGGAAAAACTCTGACGTTGTTCCGGTGTCAACCGCTCGAGAAGAGCAGGCGGAGGCGATGAAAGAGCAGCACTGGCAGAACCAGGGTCCTCTTTGTCGCTGTGCAACGGCGTGGGTCGCTCGTGCAAATTATACACAAAGGGGTCATCAACGCGATGCTTGGCAGACGAAGCAATGCCACCTGTCGAAACAGGACCCGGAGCCCAGTTGCCCGAAGCAGCGGTGGGATCTTGAGCCGCAGATTGAAGACCATCGCTCAAACTGTGGCGAGACACAGCGCTGAGAGGCACGCGAAGAAGGGGAGCCGAAGCTGTATCCAAAATGTCGCCTGGGTCGAGAGAAGGATGCCCGCAAGCGGGATTCGTTGGCAACCATTTTGCACGAAATTTTCCTTGTAAGATAACATAGCGCGTTGTGGAAACATATCCACGAGATAGATACCTACGAGGGCTGGGGAGCCATCGCCGCGCACCAAACTAGCCGGAACAAGGCTATGTTCAGGGTGAAGTTGCACGGAATGTTTCCCAGCATAGCGAAGTTGGTAGTTCCCATCTGTGGAAGACAAATCGTGAGCAAATGCGGTGGCACCGCAACTGTCGTGCTGAGCCAGGATAAGCTCACCAACAACACAGTCACCAGGGCGTTTCGCACGCAAAGTGCGGTAAGAACGGTCGCTAACCCGCATCCAACTGTCTCTTCCGAGGAGCACATCATGATGCATAACACCATCGGGAACAACGTATGCCCAAACAGCGGGAGAGGAAGTAGGAAGGCTCTTACGGAGAAACTGCACGCTCAAACGGACAATAGTCGAAGTTTGAAGCGGAGCAGATTTACCGAAACCACCCAAACAGTGAGGTTGGGTTTGTTTCTCAGACAACGACGAAGCGACCGAAGCGGCTTTCATGGATTCCCATGTAGATGCACTAAANATGTCCAATCAGCGAGAGAGTAAGTAGGAAGGCTCTTCCGGAGAAACTGCACGCTCAAACGGACAATAGTCGAAGTTTGAAGCGGAGCAGATTTACCGAAACCACCCCAACAGCGAGGTTGGGTTTGTTTCTCAGACAACGACGAAGCTGCCGAAGCGGCTTTCATGGATTCCCACTTAGATGCACTAGTAAAAGACTACGGGGAACCCGTGTCCAAAAGTGCAACACATCCAAACTGAGCAGAAGCCGAACCACTGTGAGTGAGGATTTTGGTGGTGAAGGAGTCATCATCGATGGTGACAACACCACCAACCAAATATGAACCTTGCTCAGGAAGCAAAGAAGAGGAAGAGGATGGCGGGGTGCAAGCGGAAGACACGGCCCAAACAGCGGTGTCCTGATCCGACGGAACATTCGGAGCGTATTGCGAAAATGACGCGAATCGTTCAGTCGATGGAGGGCGTGAGGCCTTCCGGAGGCGCTGGTGTGTGGAAGGGCTAACTTCATAGACCGCGTTATGTTGAGATGACGTCGGAACGTTATTGCTAGAAGGCAGCAAACGAGAGCTGCGCTCGGGTGGCGGGGCATTGCATCGCAAAAGACTGCGTACTCGTTGAAGGGCGTTGCCCAGCAAATTGAGACCGCGCCATCGAGAGGTGTATTGGGCGTCAGGAGCATCGACTTGGAGGCCAATACCGCAAATATGGCCGAAGGGGCTGGCTTCGGCAAGGATTTTGTCGCCAGATCCGAGAAGATGATCGCGCAACTCGGAATTTTGACATAAATTTGCGTACGAGCCAGTGAGCGCAATATTTTCGCGCTCGCGTTCCCAGAGGGATGGGTCGAAACCACGCACACCGCGGCCAAACTTCTTGTGTAAGGAAGGATCGGACACGCATGATGTTCTGCAAAGCGCTGTGGTCTTCGAAAAGACGGGCTTTGTCAGCAGCAAAAACTGTTCAGCACACAAGTATACGACTCCATCGAACACAAAAGCTGACGGTTTCCACTGGGAAAAGGGAGAGGGGGGCTGCCAAAAGAAGACCATGTTAGGAGTACAATACTCGTTAGACGGGCCGAAGACAGCGGGAACTGCTGGAGTCGAAACGCCCGGAGTGTGGTCAGCCGAAGCTGAGATGGAAGCCGAAGCTGGTGTAGCCGAAGTGGTTGCAGCTGAAACGCCCGCTTTGTAATTTACGGCATGTACGTCCATAGGGACCGTCTCAGGTACGTTAGAGACCGGCGAACAATCGACCGGAGTCGGATGGTTCGCAATAATTGGGCCAGCGACATCAGCTAGGTGCGCCCCAATTCTAAACCTGAAGAAACGCCTCGTAAGGTGTCATTCAACAAGCCGCTTTCGCTGGGAACGGCCGCCAAGGCCGGGTCAGATAAAGAACGAAACCGGGCATGGTGCTCCTGGCCATTCCTCCGTGACAAGGTACGTAAGACCGCCGGCTGTTCGGAGGTCACTCCGGGAGGGTCCTCCCGAAGCGGTGGTGTCAACACTGTCGACATCGGTCGCGGCGGCCTGGTACTGGGCGCCATGGGGCGAGCGTGCGTCGGAAGGTACGGCTCGCGCGAAGACCATCCATGGTCGAAATATCTCGTGGCGGAATCTGATGGTGTTCGACGGTCAGGACCAAGAGAACAACGTGGTTCGAAGCCAGGCGAATTTGACCCTGCAACTTGCCGATCGGAACCAGTTAAATTAGCTACCGGTGCAACAATCGAGGGCGAACCCTCAACGGAAGCGAGCACAGACGAGTTGAGCGTATCCAAAGATCTAACCGAGGTAACCAATTCAGGCGATTCCTCTTCAATCGTCCAAAGCGCATGGCTACGGCCGGTCTGATCTGCAGACGACAGGGGGAGCGAACGAGCGGTGCCCGACAAACGAGCGGTACCCAATGGCCCTGAAGGTCCTACGGTTCTGTTCCCGCACCTCAAGACAGCACTCGCGCCAGACTGGTTAATTTCTGACGGAGCGCCAGCCCGACGAGGCAGAGACGCAGAGGCGGCAGAGGATAAGTGCGATGGAGAAAGTGGGACGAGAGCATTTGTCTGGATACCGACCTGATCGACACTTGGGGAAACAACGGATACCGAAGTATGATTGTTGTTGTGTGGCACCGAAGTACCAGAAGAAGAGTGCGAAGGGATGATATTCACCGAAGTGTGGTTATCGTTGCGTAGGACCGAAGTGCTAGAGGCAACCGTGCGTGAAAGCGCGACAAATTCCGAAGTATTGTCGCTGTTGCAAAAAAAAGCCGAAGTATCAGAGGCAACAGTGTGTGAAGGTGCAACAGATACCCAGGTATTGTTGTTGGTGCATGAAACCGTACCAGAGACAACAGAGCGTGACACACGAGCGTCTTGTGATGGACGAGACGAAGTCCCCGAAGATGCTGAAGGCGGTCCGAGGGAAGTAGGCAAACCACCGTCGATGAGTCATCCGCTGCGGGAACGACCACCATTTTGGAAGTTGCCGGGCTGACGGGCAATGTGATTGGTCGAAACCATGATGCCAGACGAAGGACCGGTGTGGGCATGTGTTCGTGGTTGATAGAGGGGCAGAGCACCAGTGTGGTGGGTGTTGACCGAAGTATGTTGCTGAGAATAAGAGTTACCCGCAGAAATTCCTAGGGCATTCCCACTGTTGTGTGATGATGTGTGAGAAGTGCGAGGGGAATTACCACCGTCGGAACGGCGATACCCAGCGTGGTTTCGACGCTGAAATGACGAAGAGGAAGAGCGCTGGTGGCGTCTACCCTGATTGTTTTGGCGGTTGTCCGCACTTGTTCGGCGAAAAGACCGCATGCGGCCTTGCCAACGTCTCAAAGCAGCAGAATCGTCATTGAGGAGGCCCAACTCGGGGTTCAACAACCCACTAGAATTCGTGAACGGTGCAACGCATTGCTTCATGGCATGGTCTTCACCCGAGCAGTTCAGACAGCGATTCCTGTTTTCGCGGAGGGCTTGCGAGCGAGCCTCTTGTGTCAACAAAGGAGTCCACGAAAAAGGATCATCCATGTTACGAAAACTAGAATTGAGAGCGTGTACATCAGACCAATCGGCTTGCGAGGCAGGCCAAAAATTATAGTTGCGTGTGAAAGGGTCGGCATTGTGCGATTGTACCGGCAAAACTACAGGGTTCTGAGCAGTACCTGATGGCCACTGGCCCCGAAGACGCGGGAGCGCGGTGGTGAGACCGCCGAGGCTGCGAGGAGCCACGCGTCGAAGACAACGATAAGTAAGATGAACCGCCGATAGCCGGGGTTTTATTTGTCGCTAGGGGCGCGAACGCCTCCCACATATCCGCAATCGACGCAAAAGGAGTGACGGCCGTGTCCAGAATACCCGGGTACAAAATCGGAGACAAACATGGAAACTGCTTGCAGGCCTAATGCCGCACTATTTCTAGAACCATGGATACGCTAGGAGCCAACGTACGCTCAGAGCCAGTCACAGAAGAAACCAACAAACGAAAAGCACGAAGGTAATCCGCGAAAGAAGTACCTTCTGCTACGCCGACTTGTTGTAGCCGCAAAAACGACTCTTGACAGTCGCCGACATCAAATTGCTCTGCAAGATGACGCAACAGCAACTGAAAAGCTTCTGGTCCAGTGGCGCCGCCGTCCAAGCTCCTCTTCACTTGCTGAAAGTAGTCAGTGATGGAAAGGACGAAATCGGCAGTAGAGGACTTGTCAGGGGTGATCGCACTCAACAGTTTCTTTTCGAGAGGCCGTTCCCATCCACGCACGAAATCAGTACCGAACAACCCATCGCTCTGCTCATCACAAACCAACAAAATATCGGATAAAGCCGTACGTGCTGTGCGAAGAAGCTGTTGGTAGCCATCTCCCGGCAACAGAGTTGCAGAAAAGGGCATAGTAGCGATACTCTCGATTTTTTCACGTGAAGGGTGATGTACGCGCGTTTCACTGTAGCAACATGAGCCGCACGTGCAATAGCATCGGTCGCATCTATCGTGGCTTGACGAGCATGTGCGATGTTCGAAGAAAGTGGGAACACACGATCATCAACAGCAAGGGGGGGTGTGACAGCAGCTACCGAAGCAGCATGGGAAGCATGGTCCGAAGACAACACAACCTGCGGAGCACCAGGCACAGGTGGTACAGACGCCGAGGGGGGGGTTGGGTTCGAAAACCCAGGGTTCTGCACGAGTCCTGAATCTACAGCATGGTGAGCGGTAGAAAAAACAGGGGGTGCAGCAGTTTCCGAAGAAACAGGGAGGGCCGAAGCCGGGGGAAGGTTCGAAAACGCAACAAGAGGTTCCGAAGAAACGGGGGGGGCCGAAGCCGTAGGAACACAATCATCACGCAAAAAGAAACGAGCGTCCGAAGTCGCGTCCATAAGGGACGGAACTGCTTGCCTTTGGCGCCCCGGCTTGCGAGACACCCTGGTGTCCGAGCCCGACCCGGTTCCTCTCTTGCCCTTGGAGCCACGGGCGTCATCCACGCTGCATTTGGTCACCGTCCTCTCCCAGCTCCCACCCACCGAAGACGATGAGGGCTCCGGGGGCCGACGCGATGCTCCGGCCGAGCTCCAGCCAGACTCCTCTCCCGAGCTATCAGGACCACTCTCCCGACTCGAGCGTGGCGGTTGCGCCTTCTTGACGCGGCCGGGCGCTGGCTGCTGGAACCCACCGGGGGCCTCCGAAGACAGCCCGCTTCAGCCAGGGTACACCACGGGAGCAGTGGCGTGGGCATTGGCCTTGCGCATCCCAGCGAGGAAACGGCCGGCCAGGTCCCGAATATCCGGGCGGGAGGTGTTGGCCACGTCTACCGCCTCGTGGATGGTGACGGCCGCCGGCAAAGCGATGGCCACTTCCGTGGCCAGGTCCCTGACCGATGTGCTATCCAAAGGGAGGAAGTTGAACTGGTGATATTGTGCAACATCAGCCAGTTTGGCCGGGGTGAACCGGAAGTCGCCGGACTCGAAGGTTATGTGGCCTGTCCGCGACGACGGGGAGCGGGAGACCGGGCTGGACGAAGCAGCAGCCGCATACGTGCGGGACGAGGCGGCAGAGGTAGACGATTCGCACGCAGCTCTCCCGCCTGCTCCCGGGACGCGAGACGGCCGCTCTGCACCTCCCCGAAGGTCCTGCGTCTTTTTCCGGCCTTGCGGCCAGCTTCCACCAGGGCGTCCTCCTGGCGCCGGTCTGCGGTGAGGGTAGCAGCCAGCTGACTCCGCTGACGGTCGCACTGTCGTTGAAGGGTATCCAGATCGAAGATGGCTTTGGAGTTCGTGTCCCTCTTAGCCCGCAAGACCTTGAGCTCCTCCTGACGGGCGGAGACTTCTTGACGAAATTCCTCGTCGGTGAGGCCGGCCTGCGCTTGTTGGGCGGCCGCTCGGTCGGCATCGGCGGCCGCGCCGCTCGCCACGCGAACAGCGTCCGTCCAGGCGGTCGAGCGCGCCTCCGCAGACATGACGTTCCACAGAGCCAGAGGGAGCCACAGCGGGCAGGAGAGGGCCGAAGCCGTGGCCGAAGCCGGGGGTGCTGCCGAAGCAGCGGTGGTGGCCGAAGCCGAAGGTGCCGCCGGAGGGAGTGCGAGCGGAACAGGCTCGGCCGGCCTGCCGGTGATGGCAGACCTCGCTCCGCCGCCGGTGGTCGAAGCCCGAAGCTCCGGAGTCAATAGCCCGCAGAAGACGCAGTCTCGGGCTTGACGGTAGGAGTCGTGGCCACCATCGCTGTACGGTGAAGGGTGTCGTAGAGGTGGCGGTTGCGGCGCTCTGCGATTTCAAGACGAAAAAAAGCATCGGCCGTGGCAGCACGTTAGTGCAATGAGGAGGGCATGAGGGGGGGTGGGGGCACCGCGTAAGAATAAATAAAGGTGCAGCGGCAGAGGGACCTGCGGAAACAACCGAAGCCCCAGCTAGAGTTGCCGAAGCAGAAGCTAGCATGGTAAGGTCAGTCGAAACTGTAGGCTCGAAGCCCGCCGTGCGAACACGCTAATCTATGAAAAATGCGGGCAGAGGCGTATCTACTGGCATAGAAACAGCGGTGTTTACAGCAGCCGAAGCAGCTGGCACAGGGCCCGTTGTGGTAACAAGGGGGGCTTGGGACGGGGCAGACGCCACGGTACACCTAGTGAAACGGTGGGTAGGGGCGGAGCTAACGGAATGGGCAAGAGTACACGTGCAGCAGTCGGAACCGCAGAAACAGGTGCATCGGTGGCGGGAACATGAAAGGCATATGGGGGGGCAGACGGCACAGTACGCATAGTCGAAATGGTACGCAAAGGTGGAGCTGCAGAGGTAAAAGCACCGCGAACAGTCGAAACTGTAGGTAGAGGCGGAGCAAAGGGGATGGAGGAAAATACACCTGTAGCAGTCGAAACCGCAGCAACAGGCACATCAGAAGCAGTCGAAACCGCAAATGTAGTCGAAACTACTGAAGCAAAGCCATCGGAGGCAAACGAAAGTGCCTGTGTGGGCGAAACCACGGAATCAAATGCATTGGAATCAATCGAAAGGGCCGGGGGAGCCGAAGCCACTACTGTAGCGGGTGCACCAGAGACAATCGAAATCACCCCTGAAGTCGAAACCTCGTGAACAAACGTATGTGATGCGGCGGACTCTGCAAGCGGTGATGTCAATAAAGCAGATGCACGGCGGTCACGAAGCCGTTGGGCACGAGCAGCTGCTTGTACACGATCGCTCCGCGAAGAAAAAGGGGGGATTGCCTGCGCTGCTTAGTCAAATCGCAACGTGCTGCGAGAAGCCGAGTGACTAGACAAGCGCGGTACTACAGAGTCAGTATCACGGTCGAAACCGTTATCTGTCCCAAGAGAAAGTGCTCAACGGTGGATGGAGCGAGAGGAAACTCGAGTCTACATGTGGTTCACGCGGGAATTCAGAAAACTCATCACCAGTAGCCGACGAGACGGACTGCTGTTGTACACCCAAGGGCACAGAGGCGGAAACCGAAGTTTCAGGTGTGGGTGCTGGCGGTTTGAGGACAGCACCCACGGGGTTGGCGTCGGCCGAAGCCGGCGAGACGAACCTCTCCCGTGTGCGTTGAGCGCGAAGCTCTGACGAACGAGCGGCTTCGGCAACAGGGTCAGCGGCACGAGTACTGTCCGAAGACAGCAGCAGCTCTGTCTGACGACCAGCTGCTGGGGACCCGAAGGTCGCTACGCGGGGCGAAGACACAGGACTCGCCGAAGCAGAGTCCGAAGAGCCGACGCTAGGTTGAGATATAAAACAGATGGAGAGGCTAGGGGTAGGGGCTGGCCCAATGTCTGCGTGGGTCTGTGTGGTCTCTAATCATTCAAGTGACAGGACCCTAGGTGTCAAGAGGAATTGTCCACAGCGGATTGTACATGGAACCCCAGCCTACAAGCACTGCTACCGACCTGATGGTAGCTGCCTCTCGATCGGTAGAAGTGAGCCTCGAAGGTGGCTTGTGACAAGGAGTGGAAGGTCTCCGGTCGTGGATACGGTATTCGCTTGTTGACTATTGCTAACTCAGGGCAAGCAAGGAGAAGTAGTGAAGCAGTCAAGTAAGTGAAGGCAAGGGGACCGAGCAACCTAGCCTCTAGACGGAGCCCGGCAAACCGGACCTTACTGAGTACCTGTTGGGAATAACGCATCCTCCCCAAGGTGCAACTCCTATCAACCGTAACAATGTAACCGTAACAGACATGCCGATAAGCGAGGCAAAGCTAAGCTGTGGTTGAGGCGAGAGCGCAAGCAACTGCAGCAGCAGCTAAAGCACCAAAACGCGCCAAGACACCACCAAACCAAGCAACACCGTACGAATAAGCCGACAACGCCAAGTGTAAGTGTGGTGGTATGCACGCGTGATGAAGTTTGGTAGACCCGTGAAGAAGAACTCATTTGTTATTACTCTTGGAGACAGCAGCAGCAGTAGCTGTTGCCTTGGGTATCGGTAGGAATGACACCAAAGGGCGCAGGATCCTCTGTACAGGCAGGGGCTACTAGATTCTGCCCCTGTTTTATCCTTCCGCGGAAAGTTGCATTCCTCCGCGCCTTCTAGAAGGAACCATTCACCCTCCGCAACCATTTCGACGGGTGAAGAAGCGAGGCAATAGCGGGGGGTTCGACAAGTGACACACAGGAGGCCTTCATTTACTTGTGCGCGTGCCACGGCTGACCAAAGATAGCTTATCATTTGGCATCGCGTTGTCGTTCTCTCTTATGCTTGTTCGAAAGGTCGTGCGCCGCAAGGAGAAAGCGCTTTGGCGTGCGCAAGCTCTGCCGAATCCATCACTACCCATTCCGGACCGATTCAAGTGGCGCTGGGAGCGATCGCGTTTTACGGTCATGGTTCGCCATGGAGTAAGGAGGTTATCGTCGTAAGGTAGGTCGAAGCGTACACGAGCTCATCGATGGCATGGACGCGCTTAGGGATTAGTCCAGCGAGAGGGTTGGAATGGTTGAAGAAGCTCTGGGAAAAAAAGTATCACACCAGCTCTGCCATCAAAGTGAGAGTCTTGACTCGAGGTGTGTTTCTTCTGAGAGGGTGGTAAACAAGCGAGAAGTCGTACACCATTGTCTCCCAATGCGTGTTCGTGTTCGCATCGCTGCTGACCGTACAGCCACGCCAGGGGGGACGCATGCTATGACCCGATGGACAGCAGATGCGGCTGCAGTGCGCGCGCTCGTTGCATGAGAGTGAATGTTTATTGCTGTTGTTGCGATGGTCACCAAGTTTTTGGACAAAAACTGCTCTCGCGATTTGTTTTTTCATCCCCATTTATTCTGGACGTCGCTCCTTACACCTTGCTGTTCGTGCGTAGAAGTAGATAGTCGAAAAGTAGCCGTTACGTACGACGCAGCTGGGACAACTTGACGGGTATGTGTTGAGAGGCTTTGGATGATAGTGCGGAGTCCCCGTGTTCTCTCGAGAATTGGGGCCTCTCCTCCTTCTCCCTCTCTCCTCTCTCATGCGAGCTAATACACACAGTTAAACAGCAGCCCCAAGTCCGCCGGCCCTTAACAGGGCTAGGGCTCACGAACACGCTAGCGTTCGTCCTCCCGGGAGGATCCGCAAGACGGTGCGGGCTATGCCAAGCGAGAGGCAGCGGGGTTCCAGCAGCCAGGGTACGCAACTCTGAACTGGACGCTTTCTGACTGGAACGGAGCAGTAACTGAACGAGTAGAGATGACAGAGGTGCAGGAGATGATGGGCATGCTGCCATCGCTACTGCAGGCCGAGTCGGAAGGGCAAGGCCAGGAGGGGTCGGCGGCGCTGCAAGAGGGCGCCGCGGGTGCGGCGGAATTGGGGGTTCCGCCGAGCAGCCACCGAGAGCTGTGTCCTGCGGTGGTCGTCAGGGAGGGCGACACTGCTGGAGGAGAGAGCAGCAGTAGGCCGGGCGTGGAAGGCGCCCTGGTGCGGGATGTGGAGGTCCCTGCTGCAGGTGGGTTTGGTGCATTCCAAGACACCAACTCTCTTCGTAGTACGTTCGGCAGTGCTTGCGTACAGCAGTCTGCTGCCGCTGGAGACACTGGTGAGAGTGTCACAGCAACCGATCAATCCATTCAGGGGAGGTCGGGTGGAGAATGCGGCACGGCGGAAGGGTCGTGTCCACTGTTCTGCCTTGCTGTAGTAGCGGGCGGGGCGCACAGAAGTCGCCGGAATTGATGGTGCAACAGAACGGACGGAGGGGCCGTGAAGTCGCGCAGTTTTGGCGCGCACTCCATCTGCGGTAAGGCGGTGGATCAACATGAAAGGCGTTCGAGTAATCGGCGCAACAGAACGGACGGAGGGGCCGTGAAGTCGAGAAGTTTTGGCGCGCATTCCATCTGCGGTAAGGCGGTGGAGCACGAGGACGGTAGAGAGACCGTTGGGCAGGATTGCCGGAGACACTCAACCATGGATCGACCGCGCGACGGCGCGGGGGGGGGTGGGCGCCGTACATGCTTGATGCTGGCGGTGTTTTGTTAAGTCGATCCAAGGCCGGCAGTAGAGGCCGGGTACGCCCTACCACGGTTGACACGCGCGACGGCGCGTCGGGGGGTGGGCGCCGATCACGCGGGAGCGGGCGGCGTTTTTTGACCACAGCACGGACGGAGGGGCCGTGGCTGCTTTGCCTCGTCGTCGGAACGGGGGGGGCAGCATTATAAGGCGCGCGGAGGTGGCGCGCAAACCCAGCACGGACGGAGGGGCCGTGGCTGTTCTGCCTCGTCATAGGAGCGGGGGGAGTAGCATATTGAGTCGCGCGGAGGTGGCGCGCAACCATCAGCCGGATGTGGGTGGTGGAACGGGGCACAGCAATGTGGGTGTCATCAAAGTCGCGTGGGGAGGTGCCGCGCGCATTTCATCAGCCGGGAACGAGCGGTGGAGACAAGAATGCGTCAGGATGGACGTGAGGAATTAAAGGCGTGCTTCGCCATCAAGATGTGTTGGTGGAGTAGTTGGAATAAGCTTGGATTTTGTTGTCTTGTTTTGTGTGGAGGTACC